TATATATATATATATATATTTCGATAATTTTATTCAAATATCAAATTTGTTAATGTCTTTCACCTTTAATTATAATACATATTTTAATACAAAAATATATGTGTAATGAATAATTAATCATTCGATAAGATAATCTGCTTGTTTAAAATGCAAAAAAAAAAAAATAAAAAAGAAAAAAATAAAGCCGAATAATGGACACTTGAAAGAAAATGCATTATCCCTTTTTGAAATGTGGATGACATTTTCGAGTGATGGTAAGTCAAGTTTGAATTGAAGTTGGTACGAGATCTCCACCGGAAAGAAATGAAAGAAGAGTAATGGAAAGATACGAGATCCCTTGGCGTATCCGTGCGAACGCGGCAAAGTAGAGAAGACGATGATGAAGAAAAAGATGAAGATGAAGAAAAAGAAGAAGAAGAAGAAGAAGAAGAAGAAGAAGAAGAGGAAGAGGAAGAGTAGAAGCAACTGAACGTCGGCATCGGCAATACGCTCGATCGTATCGGACAGCAAATTCGGCGGTGCGGACGAGTTACTGCCTCCATAAAATTCCAGGCGTTTAACGATGACAAGAATTTATTGGATATTTTTGGTAGCCAGGATGGGACAGTGACCCTGTTGAGTAGTCGTCGTACTCGTTGCTTCCTCTTCCTCCTCCTCCTCCTCCTCCTCCTCCTCCTCCTCCCACCTGCTCACACCTTTTCTCAACTTCTCCTCGTTCATCGTGTAGATACGCTTCTGCGATCGAGGAAGAAGATAATGGTGCCAAGACGGGTCCATTTATTGAACGTAAATCTTTCTTCTTCCTCTTTTCTTTTTTATTTATTTTCTTTTTTGACGTTTTAGAAAAAAACCTAGCGCCAGTAAAACCATCGGTATAAACGTTACTCTCCTCTTTCACGACTATCATCTAAAATTGTTTAACTATACTCCCCACTCTCTCTCTCTCTCGCTCTCTATGTATGTATAACTGGTGTATAATAACTATTTTAATTTAAGTAAAAATTACTAGAATAATAAAATAATTGTTAATTAATTAATGAAAGTGTCTATTGTTGCTTAAAAGCTCGGAATATATGATCGATGTATCGTCTTCCTCGAAATTCACCTTCAGACTGAGTTTTTGTCATCTATGAAAATACTTATATTCAATGTTGTTTTATGACTTTTCAAATATTTCACATGCAACGTGAATAATCGACTTAATTAATAGAATTTAAGATTAAAACGTTCTAATTTGAATATTTTTTCATTCTAATGTAATTATTTTCTTGCTTCTGTGCAGTGATGACTACGAGGGTTAAATGTTCCTGTAATATGAGTAGAGTATATTAGAATATTAAAATAATTGTTAAATAGTCAGGAAGAATACGTATTGTAATTTAGAAGCACTGTATATATGTTAGGTGCACCATCTTCCTCGAAAGTCTTCTGCAGACTGACAATGAGTCTTTGTCTTCTATGAAAATACTTATATCCAATGTTGTTTATATGACTTTTCGAATATTTCACATGCAACGTGAATAATCGACCTAATTAATAGAATTTAAGATTACAACGTTCTAATTTGAGTATTTTTTTGTATTCTAATGTAATTTTTATATCCCATCTGCACAGAGATGACTTCGAATGTTAAAGTTTATCTATAATATTTTAGAAAATGAATTTTTTGAACTTTTGTTGCAGGTGAAGCTTCTGGTGAGAACGCGTCCACGGGTACTGGATCTCGTGGTGGCGATCGTGGAGAAGCAGCAGATTTAGGAACGCATACAGAAGAGAACGAGGAGACCACCCTGGCCGCGAACACAGCGGTCGACGGCAGGGGCGGAAGCCCCCAGGACGCCCACCTTTCGGGTTCGGTAACTACCAGGCCTCCAAGAGGTAGAAGACGTCAAAATCAGAATGGTCTTGATACCGCTCAAGTAAGCTTTTTGTTTTTTCTTTTCGTCCATTTATCGATCTTAGTTTTTTGCGAAAACGGTTTTATAATTTTTGTTTCTTTTTCTTTTTTCTTTTTTATTTCATTTCTTTTCTCATGAATTATAATAATACATTCGTGTGAATGACACGCGTTAACCTTTAAATAATAAAAATTAAAATACTTACGTCATAACTCATATAAACTCGTCTTAATATTAAAATTCGGTGTGGTTGTTGAGGAAAAAAAGAAAGAAAGAAAGAAAGAAAGAAAGAAAGAAAGAAAGGAAGGAAGAAAAAAATTACACGAATAAATTATTCTCCTCAGTGCCAAGAAATATAAGTGCTAATATAATATATTTATATTATATTTACCAATTTTTTTTTTCTTTTTCAAATTTAACATTTTTACTCGATTGATTTTTGAGCCTGGTTTTTTGAACAAAAAAAAAACAAAAAATAATACTTAAATAGAATTATCGATATGTATGGAAGATTACGCATAGTCAGTGTTCCTTCTTCTTTTAAATTCTTTTTTTTATTTATTTTTTTTTTTTTTTCTTGAGAGTTCGAGGCATTTGAGCAAATACAGAAAAAAGGAAAAGAAGAAGCTTAGTCAGGACCGTACGAAATTTTGAAATAAAAATCAGCAGTGTGGAACTGTTTCGAGTGTTTGATCGGTTCTCACATAGCAGCACTCGTTTAACACGTGTGAGAAGTTCGAGAGATTTTCTTTATGTTCTGACGTAGGAGAGAAAAATAAAAAAAATAAATAAAAAAAGAGAACTCTCTTTTATCCTTTGACCGGTAGCCCACTGTACACCTGTACTTGAAGAATCCCGTTCGAAATTTCTGACCGGTCGACCAATTCTCTTATATATATATGAACGATGTCAACCTCATCTGAAAGTGCAATGTCATTTTTTCGTCCACACACACACACACACACACATGTGTAAGTCAACGTTTTAAAATTAACATTGGATACCGATATAGACAAAAAAAAAACTTATGGAAAAAAATAGGATAATAATTTTGAAAAAAGAGAATATAGTCATGAATTTTTTTTCTATTTAATTAAGTATAATAAAATATAAAAAGTATTTTATCACCTGTTTCTTTTTGTTCGAGTTTTACTGTCTCTGGTTTTATTTTTTGTTCGAATTTTACTTATAGCAAAAAGAATTGGATGTCTAGCAAGGTGAGAAAGAGATTTACAATGGGGTTGTTTGAAAGATTGGTTTCTCGAACACCTTAGGGAGAACCCATTTTACCGCCAATCGAGTCTCGTTCTTCATGGTGTCGCGTGTTTATCCCTTACCGGTAGCGTTCTAACTGCTAAGGAGTCAACTCTTGCGCCACGCGTTACCTTCATTACCATATCTCGGATGCAATCTGTTCTTGGGGAATTAATGCGACCAAGATATTTCCTGCTAGTTCGTATTACTATCTTTCTTTCTCTTTCTAATGTAAAATAAGAAAAAGAGAGAGAGAGAGAGACCACGAGTGAAATCATTGAATGTATTATGGGATTTTCTAATCGAAGACACGTAAAAATGAAATGATAACTCCCAACAATTTCCCCCTCTCTTTTTTTTTTATTTTAACCATTCTCATCATCAAATTTCAGGTTAAAACTGAACGACTCACGCCTGACAATAATTCGACCTCGTCTAGAAGCGTAACGCCTTCTTCGTCGAGTCATCCAGGTACGCCGCCAAATGCAACTTCCCTCGGTGGACCCGAAGGGCCACCACAACCGCCGCATCATCTCAAGCATATGGAACAGATGATGGGACGTAACTGCAGTGATTTTATGAGAAGCTTAGCAGCCAAGTACAACAACGCCAATCCTAACGAGTGAGTTTCTTTTTCTTATTTGTTTTTTCTTTCTTTTTTAAAGATAAAATCGAAATGTAATTTAATTTTTCGTGAAAGAAAAATGTGATGACTAGGTTGATATTAAATTGTAGAAATTAATTAACTTCGCGTTGATGTTATATTTTATTTATAACTTTGGTTTATAAATATTGAATATTAAACGTGTCGAGTGTTTCTTTTTTTTTTTTTTTTACAATGTTTTATTATTGACACGTGCTTTATAGTTATTAATCGAGATTTAATAGAAACCAAAATAATTAGTAAACGAGATTGACTAAATTATTACGTATTTATTTTTAAAAGGTATTTAATTAATATTCACACCTAATTAATAACTCCACGTGTTATTTTGTCAATCACATTAAATATTCTTCTTCTTCTTCTTCTTCTTCTTTAGGTGTAGACGTGATATCCCAAATAATATGTTTTTCTTTTACCTTGAGTCTCGTTAAATATTAATACTAAATTAATTTTATTCAAATTACGTTACGGAATAGGTAAATAATGTTTATGCAAAGTTGAGTAATATTTTTTTTAATTGCATAACTGTTTTACGATACTCTTAAGCGTCATTTATTTAAATGTTGTTTCTAATTAAAATATTTATAAGAGAAATAAAAAGTGAGAAGGGTATATAGCTACGATCCTAAAAGATTTATCAAATAATTGGATTTTCTTTATTCTCACAGTTACTTCAGTTCTCTAAGGAACGGCTATCCTCCTGGTTTGGATCCCAGGTTTCCTGCGTTCAAAACAGCAGCCACACCGTTCGTCGGTCTAATGGCCCCTCTTGGTGCCCCACAACCAACCACCGTTCAAACCACCTCACCATTATCAAACAAGGATCCCAAGGAACAGAAACAGGATAGTATCTTCGGGAACCCGGTGTTTCCTCCTATGCTCGATATGTCATCGACGCAAGCACTTTTGCACATGGTGCGAACGGCTAATGCTGCTCAGAATGCAGCTGAACTCGAAACTTATCTTAAAGGTAATTAAAAAAAACAAAAAAATTAAAATACTGAGTTGACAACTGAATAATTACTCATTGTACCAATCATTGTTCTTGAAAATACACGTAATTATATACATATGCAATTTTTCGTTTTCAAAATAAATGTAAAAAATAGAAAAACAAAGTTAATAAATAATCTTATGTGTTAAGAAAAAAAAAAAAAAAAAGAGAGAAATGTTTTATTATCGTTGATAATGTTACAGGTGCGAATAAACGTGACGCGGGAGTGACGAGTCCTTTGGATCTTTCAACGCCAGGAGGATTTGCACCACGTAAAAGGCAAAAAACAGAGACGAGAAGATCAGGGAGTATATCTCCGAAACCGAAAGCAATACCACCACCTGGTCCGAGCACGCCGCCACCCATCAGATGTCCTTCTTTGTGCGGGCACATGCCGTGCGGAGATGGACAAGCGGTTAATCGTTGGACCATTGAAGACGTCGTCAATTACGTCTCATCGATCGACACTTGTGCGGAGTACGCTCAGGTAAGTGTTTCACCTTTTCTAACATCCTTCAATCTAACGAGTTTCTTCAGACGGATTTAAGAATTCGTTAGAATAAGAATAAGAAGAAGAAATAAGTCAAGGAAAAGAAAAGATTACGAGATGATCGAAGTTATGCTAGTTTACTTATGCTCTTTCTATTTCTATTTCTATGTTCTTTTCTTTTTTTTTTCTTTTTTTTCACTGTCGGCATGCCGGGAATAGTTTTAATTGCTTTTGAAAGTCGCTCTCTCGTGTAACGAACGCCATAGCGCAATATTCTTCGAAGCCCTGTGTGTACGTTCTTCTATTTAACTCCTACGTCGTCAGGTGAGGCAACTTGTGAGATCTGTGTAGAAGGCTGGCGAATGACCCGACATCAGTCAATCCGGACAGTCGGGAAGAGGAGGCCGCGTGCCAGCTAAGGAGAACTCTATAATGACCCCCTAGAAGCTAGTAGATCTAAAACCCTCTCCACACTTTCTCCCTTACTCCCTTTTCCCCGCAACTCTCTTACCCGCCGGTGAAATTCATCCGAGTTCGATGCAATAGCTTTTCCTTTTTTCTCTCTGTTTCTTCTCTCTTTCTCTTTCTCTATCTTATTTCGCAAAAAGAACCGTTTAGATCTAAAGTACGATTTCTTTTCACTATAATACTTCAAATAGATCAATGTGATCTTCTATTCCTTATTTTTGAGATGCCCTATCTTTTAGAAATAATTTAACAAGGGCACACATCGAACGTCGTGTAAAGGATTCTCCCCAAGTTTAAAAAAAANAAAAAAAAAAAAAAAAAAATAAGAAAAAGAAATAGAGAGAGAGAGAGAGAGATAAATACTGAACAATCTCCCTTGCATCCTGTCAGATTCGATTATCCTCGGCCCTATCGTTAGGTCTCGTTTACGGTTACGCTCTTCGAAACGTCAGACTGTCAAGGCCGTGAATTTTTGCGCGAGCGCACTTGCCATGCATATTCATGACACGCTCACTGGAAACGTAATCGAAGATGAAGAAAGAAAGAGAGAGAGAGAGAGAGAGAGATAAGGGGTCTTGGAATATTTCGATCATTTTCCCTTGAACCAATTCGGACAATGACAAGGGACCCCAATGTGATTATAATACTGATACTTTATACCTTCAAGTATTATCTTTTTTTATTTTTTTTTTGAGACAGAAAGAAGTAAACTCCTGAAGTTCCTGGAGTTGGAATTTTTTTTTTCCTCGGCAAATAAGGTACCGCGAAAGAGTGAGAGAGAGAGAGAGAGAGAGAGAGAGAGAGAGAGAGAAAGTGAGACGGATCTTCTCGAAATTATGGCACCGATCCTTATCTCCATAAAAGGATACCGCGGAACGAATCGACGACGGTGAGAGCACGATCCTTTACGTAGATTCACTCGAATTATAGCATCGATCCTTATCGGTTCTTCTTCTTCTTCTTCTTCTTCTTCTTCTTCTTCTTCTTCTTCTTCTCTGTCTTATTCTTCGTATTCTTCTTGTTGTTTCTTCCCTCTTTAAGACAGCGAAGAAAACGGTTGCACCGTAACCGTTGCGCGTGCAGATAAGTTCGCCCTTTTTCTTTCTTTCACGAACTATACTCTTACTCGCGTGGCGTGAAATACTCTACGTGAGCTGGCAACCAAGGTAATTAATATCGCAGCGCGATATGACGCGCCAAATGGTGCTTAACGATTATGCCTTACGATTTATTTACTGAGCAATGAAGATCTACGAGTATCGCAACCGTATTTCACCTTACCTTAGAAAGAAAGAAAGAGAGAGAGAGAGAGAGAGAGGATACTGAAATTGATTCCTTCTCGAGAGAAAATTTACGCTCGTTTCGTCACAATTTTTTTTTTTCTTACTTTTTCTTATCATTCGTTTTCTTTTTTTTTTTTTTTTAAGTTAGAATCGTCACTTTCCAGTCTCTCTAACGAACCAACACGGTATTCGCATTTTTCTTTTTCTTTTTTTACACGTTTTGCAATCGCGTAACGATCTTAGGGATTGCACGTCGAATGTAATAATAAAAAGAAAATCAAATTTTCTTTCAACTTGATTAAAGATTTGTTTTTCTTTCATTTTGATGTGAACGAATTTTTTTGCATTTGTATATACCTTGCATATTTCCATGGAATACCATGTATATCGAAAGTAAATTATAATTTATTGAGTTATTTGTTTAATGATATTTAATTAAAAGTTTGATATTATATTCCTATCATTATTATCTTGTACATATTTATTATTTTATTCACAAGTATTAGCTGTTACACTATTAGAGTTTTTATTATTTCTTGTAATTGTTATTAGAAGTATAATTTATTTTTCTATTTATAATTTTTCTATTACATAAACTATCTAAAATCTTCATTATCTTTTCTACATATATAATTTTTCATGTCATTTATTTCCTTTTTTATTTTTTTATTTTTTTTTTTTTTATTTCTATCTAACTATAATAAAGTCTATATAATTTAAACAAAAATTATAAAACAATGTTACAAAAAATACTACAATTAATTATCATAATAACAACGTAAGAACCCACGTAAATTAAGAGAACAGATTTATTTCAGTTCATATGACTATTATAAAAATAGAATTTAGAAAGGAATTCCTTCTAGTTTGACCTTGCAAATAAAAGGACGAGAGAGGAAGTTAAAAACTCGGTCGTCGACATTGCCGTGATCGTTAATAATCATCGGCAACCTTTTTCCCAACTACATTCGTAGAAGAACGAACGAACGAACGAACGAACGAAAGAACGAACGAGCAGTAGCGAGATGTGCGCGGATACTTATCTAAGGGAATGAATCTTAGCAGACTAATAACAGCCGCTTAAGAGAAACTAATCTATCGATCCGACATCGGGTTACCGGATACCTTCTCATTTTCTCGGTGATCTAGCGACTCTATGCTAGGAGGCTTAGTTAGTTGGCGTGTGCACCTTCTCTTTCTCTCTATCTTTATTTCTTTCTTTCTTTCTTTCTTTCTTTCATTTACTATCTTTCCATTGGTTTTATTCCTAAGACGAGATCGCATGACGCAATTAGGAAACTGAACGAAAAGTAAAAGTTTCTCGTCTTTAAAGTTAAAAAACCCAAATGAAGAAAAGAGAACGAAACTTAAACGCGTAGGTGTAATTCACTGTATAAAATGACCTCACGTTTGCTCTATCTATCTCTTTATTCTTTATCTTTATCTATATCTTCGTAAAGAAAAAGAAAAAAGGGATAATAAGGTGGTGTGATTTGAAAAGCAAATCGTATTTATATAGACGTATACAAATGTAGGTGTACACATCTTTCTTTTGTATACTATTATACCTATCTATATATACACATACATTTGTATATATACATACTAGTTATATATCTATCGTTGTGGCACGTTCTCTGAGATCGTTAGAAAGTCGTGAATGTGGATCGGTCTCTTGAAGGAGGGAAGAACTTACATAGGTCTTCCGTGATGGCAAAGCTTACTACAGGATAGGATAGGATAGGATAGGATAACTGTCTCGTGTTATTCTCGTGTGTCCTCTGACGTCCCACGCACGCGTGGCCTTCTATCTTGCAAGCTTCTTCTATCCTCTGTCTCTTTCTTACTTCAACTTCTTTTATCGCTTTTTTTCTTTTTCTACTTCTTCTCATCCTTGTCTATTCAAAGATCACTGACTGTTCTTTGACTTTGTCCCCTGTCTTTCTGCAAACCTTCCTTCGTTTTGCTTCTTCTGTCAGGGTAGGTACTGGTCGAAGAGGTCACATGGGAAACCCGTAAAAGAGAGGAAAGAAGAGAAGGATAAGAAGAGGTAAAAGTAGATAATGTCCTGAAGCTCTCGAGAAATAGCAAGAGGGGAAAAGATCGAGGGATACGTAACGTCTTTCTAATTTTAACGGGCCTTTAACGACCCTACGAGGAGAAGTCCCTCGTCACGTCGTCGTTCGAACATTATCGTGGAAAAATCCTTAGCGACATCGAACCCGTACCTTCCTTCCTTTCTTCCTTCCTTCCTTCTTCTTCTACTTCTTCTTTTTATTATTTCTCTTTCATCAAGATTTACTCGAGTACAACGTCCTTGGATAAGGAGAAAACGTTTCTTCAAATAAAATCCTACAAACTGTGTGAACTGACTATATACCCATTAAAAAAGAAAAAGAACAAAAAAATAGAATGAAATAAAATACACAAGTTATACGATTGCACCGTTTGTTTCTCAACCTTAGAAATTCCATCCTACCTTCTTCTCTTCACCCAACCCCAACCCTCTCTTTCCTTCTGGATGATTAGTAACATACGTTTTCAAGTCTTCCGAGTTACGCGTTACGACAAAAGGTCATAGTGAGAGTTCATCGTTCGAGAAGCTTTCGATAAATTCCACAAACGTGATTTTCACTCTCAAGGAAATAAAAAAAAAGTAATGGAAGAAGAAACTAAACAAAAAACAAAAAAAAAATGGAATGACGAGGTTGTTAAGAACTTTAGAGAATCTTACTTGAAATGTAGGAAGAATTTGATAGATTATACCGTGTTTTCTCTGTTTGGTAAACGACATGTTAGGTATAAAGAGCGTTAATCTATACATTGCACCAGATATATAACGTCAGTTACAACTATACCTTACGTAAGACTTTTCCAAGGAATTAACGACGAAGAAAGAAAGAAAGAAAGAAAAAGAAAGAGAGAAAGAGAAAGAGAGAGAGAGTTTAAATCTAAATCCTTTTGCACGTGCTCGAAGAAAAGAGATCGAGTTAGAACTGGATGAAACAGTTGATTCCTTCGTAATCCAAACTCAAACCAAACTAAACCATCCAACGTCGATGGATGGATCTTTTCCAAACGACTTACTACGATATCTCTTTCTCTTTCTCTCTCTCTCTCTTTCTTATTGGTTCAATAGAGGAAGACTTTCTAACGATTCGCCTTGCAAAAGCATGATCTAACCCCGAACATGACCTCTCGTTCGGTGCGGAGTTAACGCGGTGTGTAGCACCTATCTTTCAGTTG